GGCCTACATCTTGCAGTGGATGGATAACAGCTGAAGAAGAAGAAAAAGAAGATAATCTATTGATAGTTCTGCCGAGTCACTAGTAAAGCATTTCTTATCTTGTTGGAATAACAGCCCATACTCAAACTAATCTACCTTTAAGTTTAATGGGAAATGTTCTGGAATTCGTTTGAGCAGGGAAACATTTTATATCGAAAATGAATCATCAAACTAGCCATAGGATTGCACTAGAAAGAAAATAGATAAGAAACCCATGAAGAGAGTTGATGTTATGATAGTCTTAGGACACACAAGTGAAAGCTCTTCATAATTTCTCCTAGATCTGATTTGCAAGCAGCCATCTAGGCTACTAGTTTCTATTCTACATTTCTATTACTTGCAAATAAAAATTGAAAGAAGCTATTTCTGGATATAGACTTGATGCGTATTTTGAATCGGATACGTGGGCATTGGAAGAAATTTAGGTAATTTTTGTGTCACATACAGAATAGACACAATTTTATGAACTTGAAGTAGTAGATATTTGGAATTTGGTACCTGAAATAAAATTGATGATGAAGCTACTGGAATAGAAGAAAAATGAGAAAGTAGTAGCTCCTTAGGAATTTTTTTTTTGAAAGAATCCGGACTGGTACTTGAACTAAGAATTTACCACAAGATGTGTAGAACGAAGATAATCAAGAGATGTTAAAAGAATACCTTGTCATGTAAAGTTGACATGCGATATTTAATTTACCTTTTTACACAAAATTTTCAAATTGGTTTTGATGATACTTCATAAAACATGTGATTTCCAATTCAGGCTAGGTGGTGTCAAGCGACCCTTGGAGACTCGTCTCCAAGACTCGTTTCTAAGGGTAGCAGACAAAATGGAAGGGTGGGCATCGGGAGAAATCTGTCTGGCTGGTATTCCTAGTGGAATGTGTCCGTCACCCTCACGACATAGGTGCCAAATGCTCCATTTTGCCCATTATGCTTTTGGCCATGGGTGACGGTGCCACTACTTGAAATACCCTAATAAAAAATAAAATGGAAGGACCGATCCTTTTCTTAATCGTTAAGGTGATACAATAATTTGTGATAGTGGACCTGATGTTTAATCATGTACAGGAAATTTTTTTTATATAGGGTGGGCTTAAAAAAACCGGAATTTTGTTCTTGAGCTGTAACTTTATTTTTGTTGAGCAATTTCCTTTTGTTTTGGCTTGTTCGAAGGAGAATTGAACAGGCTAACGAATCAAAGTGAAACTTTTGATATTGTCAACTACTTAAGTAAATACCACTCTGTACATCAAATTTACTAAAGTGTGTCGACGAGTCAGCATTTATTTGGTATAAATGCAGCGCCGAAATCCATTACCGGCAGACTAAGGCTAGTTCGAACTACCTCTAATGGGAAAAGCCCTTCTAGCTAAGTCTGCTTCCAGTGCAAACTACCTTTAATGGGAAACGCCCTTCTGGACCTTTCTCAAACCTAGTTTCATTCTTCAGTCACGCCAAGTGTACTGAGGGTACATAATTAATACAGAGTGGCCCTCAAGTAGTACGTCCCTCCGTAGGACAGACGTCATGATACCATTTCTAGGGTAATAAATATTATTAATCAATACACATCTTATTATACCTATATCAAGCGAGTTTCTCTCTACCTGAACCCCACCTACGCCCCCAAGTCACGCTCCTGTTGTGACGTCCCAGGACGAAACGAATAGGGGTTGTGACAATATCTGAGAAAAATTCAAAATGGCGGACTTCTTCATACATTACCCAACTTTGGATAGCGCTGGAAGTTTTCTGTGACCCCCTGTATAACTTTTTCTGATAATTTCTTAAAGTTCGTCATTTTGCGAACATTTAAAGACCTCGACAGGAAAAATCGGTTGAAAACTAAGTGAAATATTGAAATTTTTGTATTATCGAATATCACCTTTTCATATCCAATACCTATATATTGATACCCCACCTACAGCCTTTACGTTTACAGGTAGAAAAAAAGGTGTAAGTACAAAAGTTGTACAGGTTTGGCTGAGCTTTTAGAAACCATGGTCAAAAACAAAATTTGAATGTCAGAAATGTAAAATTTTGCATGCTTCCAGCTTTTTTCAAATGAGATGCCCCATATTTCATTCTATATTCTTGAAAAGCACAATGCTCCGATTCCAAAAAATATATAGTTTGTCTATATTTGGTTGAACCCATTCTACCTGTACAATCAATTATGTTGGACACGGCTCAACCAAATATAGACAAACTATATAGTTTTGGAATCGGGAAATTGTGCTCTTCAACAATATAGAACCAAATATAGGGCATCCCATTCGAAAAAAAAATGAAAGCATGCAACATTTCACATTTCTGACATTCAATTTTTGTTTCTGACCATGGATTCTAAAAATTTAGCCAATACTGTACAACTTTTGTATTCACACCTTTCATCTACTTGTAAGGGTGAAGGCTGTAGGTGGGGTGTCAATATATAAAAAACACCCTGTACTTGAACAATAACTTATTATATAAAGTCAGAATTTGTAAGATTATCCATTTTTTGTCAATTTACCTTTTAACAGGAATTAGTAATGTTACTTTACCAAACTAGTTACATAATATGACAAGTTATTCAAATACAAACGAGTGGATGCTGCGGAACTTATGGGTGGACCTCGCTGCGCTCGTCCCGCAGTCATCTATTTATTAATACATTGTTCAAGTACGATACTAACCTAACTCACTCAAATGTCATGTCAGGTATTCTCATTAGTTCAAAAACTTCACGTTTCAGGTGAGAGTCTTATTTCAATAGTTCAACAGTATGTTGGTGAGTAGATGGCTGCGGAACTCGCTGCGCTCGTCTCACAGAGGTCCACCCATCATAAGTTCCGCAATAATTCACTTATTTGTATTTGAACAATAACTTATTATATAAAGACAAAATTAGTAAGATTATGATCATTCACTTTTTGTCAATTTGTTTTTCAACAGGAATTAGTAATGTTACTTTACCAAACTAGTAACACAATGTGACAAGTTATGAAGTTATTCAAGTACAAATGAGTTAATTGTTGTGAATTCCGCAACAATCCACTTACTTGTACTTGAACAATAACTTATCAGGTATATAAAGTCAGAATTTGTAAGATTATCCACTTTTTGTCAATTTGCCTTTTAACAAGAATTAGTGATGTTACCTTACCAAACTAGTAATATATTGTGACAAGTTATTCAAGTACAAACAAGTGGATTGTTGCGGAACTTATGGGTGGATTCAGCCATCTATACACGAATATGTTGTTCATGTACAATACTAATCTGATTCACTCGGTTGTGAAATTTTCTCATAAGTTCAAAAACTAAACGTTTCAGGTGAGTGTCTTATTTGAACAGTTCAAAGTATATTGGTGAGTAGATGGCTGCGCTCGTCCCGCAGAAGTCCACCCATAAGTTCTGCAATAATCCACTTATTTGTACAGGGTGTTTTTTTATATATTGACAACCCACCTGCAGCCTTTACCTTCACAGGTAGAAGAAAGGTGTAAATACAAAAGTTGTACAGTTTTGGCTAAATTTTTAGAATCCTTGGTGAGAAACAAAAATTGAATATCAGAAATGTGAAATTTTGCATGCTTTCAGCTTTTTTCAAATGGGATACCCTATATTTGGTTCTATATTCTTGAAGAGCACAATGCGCCGATTCCAAGAATATATAGTTTGTCTATATTTCGTTGAGTAGTCTCTTATATATTCGGCTCCAAAAATTGTAAAAATACTATCCTACTAACTGATTTTGTGAACTATTCTACCTGTACCGGTGAAAGTTGCAGGTAAAATTTGAGATAATCGGGTCTATTCTGTAACTCAAATTGAATCGACAATCGGAAACTTAAATCGATAACTGTGGAAAAATTTCTACAGTTATCGAATAGACCCGATTACTTGTTTTCTCTGATAGTATTTTTAAAATTTTTAGAACCAAATATGTTGGAGACGGCTCAACCAAATATGGACAAACTATATATTTTTGGAATCGGGAAATTCTGCTCTTCAAGAATATAGAACCAAATATAGGGCATCCCATTTGAAAAAAGCTGTAAGCATGCAACATTTCACATTTCTGGACATTCAATTTTTGTTTCTGACCATGGATTCTGAAAATCAAGTCAAAACTGTGCTTACACCTTTCTTCTACCTGTAAAGGTAAAGGCTGTAGGTGAGATGTCAATATATAAAAAAACACCCTGTACCTACAGAAGAACTTAAGAAATAATTTAGTAATTGGACACAACATGCGCATTCACTCTGAAAGGAAATATGGTATACCTGCTTCTTCGAAAGCCTTCACTTATCATATTTCCGCAAACTTGGGTCCATCTTATTTTTTAACATTTCCTATAGGGATGAAATTTTCCCCACATCGGTTACTAATTTCGTTTAAAATTTGTTCAATTTACGATAGTTTGTTAACAAGATTTCTACACAATGGAACAGTATCATGAAATTTCTGAATTGGACCCAATTCTAATGTCATCATTATTTTTTTTTTCTAAACAATCATCAATGGAATTAGGACTGCGACGGAACGGAAGTAAACGCAATCCATTTATTTCATAATTGGGTAACGGATGAGTAACCATTTAAAATCGAAAATTGAGACTAATTGTTATGAACAGCGGGTACCAAATTCGTCAAGGATATCACCATTAGCGCACTAATACACCAATAGGTTTTTTATTCCCATTTTTTCTAATTTTTATGTACCTACCTGTTCCAAAGATCATGCATTCTTCTCTACTCCTACATTCGACATTTCTATTTTTTCTTCTTTCTCTGAAGCTTTAAAAATTGAGTACTTTTCAAGATTTTAAAATTAAACGAATCGCTACTGGTCAATCAATATCACCATTATGGTGGGTGTACTGAGCACTATACGAATTAGTGCGTGGAACAATTCATCGTTATAGGTCGCTGAAGATATTGCCAAATCAGAAAAATAAAACACAAAAAAATATATAACAAAACATTTTATTCAAATAAAAGCATCAATATTTCGTAAAAAAAATACAATAACAAATAGGGCGCAATATTACTGGCCAACATGATAATACTTCTGCTTATTTGAACCCCATTTTTAATGGTGAGTTTGTATAAAGCTAATTACAAAAGGTTTATAATATATTCACAAAGTTACCTACAATGCAATTTTATATAATATAATAACAACTATTGAGACTGAACTACATAAAATAGTGTACACACAACTGACCATTAAAAGTTTTATTTTCCCTATAAATATTTTGATTTATTCACAAAAAGACGAACTTATAGCAAGATCGTGGACGAATTCGATCACGTTTCGAGCACGCATGCAAATTACCTACAAACCCTTTTTGTATATTTCAAGGCACATAACATAATAATTGACAAAGTTAAAATACTGGACGTATACTGGCAATAAGTACATAGATGAAATTGGTAAGACACTACAAAATATTAAATAAATATGCATTAACAATACATATATACACCACAAAAGTTGTTAATCAAAAACAGCTTTTGTCTTATAATGAAGATCAGTTTACTAAAATCACACCAATTCATTAAGCACCAAACCGCAATCACAATTATATATTTTTTCAAAATTTATGCATCTCCTTGCTCTAAAATTTAATTTATTAATAATTACAATACATCAACGTTCCGCCAAAGTTAAATCTAATGGCATACCCACTCGACTTTCACCTTCACCACTCTCGGCTTTTCCCATATCCTCATCAACTTCCACATTGACTTCCGTACTTTTTTTACACTGTTTCACACTCAAGTCAATCGGTTGATCCTGATCTGGAGCTGGTTCAGCTATAGGTGGTTGTCCGCGCAACCAGAACTCTCTCCAAACCGCTGGATCTCCTATCACCGGAAATGGCGGAATCCATCGGGGATTAGGAACAATTGGGGTTAGTGTATGTGAAGACGGACTAACAACAGTGTTCGGAGATATCGAAGGCAAAGAGGCTGGAGATATACTCGGAGGATGTGGAAATCTCATAGGAGAGTTCATGTTGGGCATTATTTTTAAGTGATTGTTATTGTTGTGCAAAGGATATTTATTGTTTTTTGAAAAACAGTCCGTGTCGCTACTCACTCGATCGCTCAAAGGCGATCCACTAGGTCTTAGATAACTGAGTGCACTACCTGATCTATTTTCATCGTCAAGATCAGCTGAACTAGCTCCGGAATCAGATTCACAGTTGGAAGGAGTGTCTCGCGCTCCAGAAGGCGTTGGTGCTCCAGGACTACGAAACAATGGACTTAGGTAGTTGGGTCTTAGCATATTGGCTGCAGAAAAATTTCCTGCAACGTCACTGGTATTTTGGTGTTGGAGAAACGATTGGTTTTGTTGTTGCTGGAACAAATATTAATAATGAAATTTAGCTGTTTTTGTTTGGTTGATGTTATTTACCTGTAAAAGACAATGAATCTTGAACCAGTTTGATCTGCGTCCATATCTGGAACCACTTTTTGACATGCCAACCATCATACATTTGCGCAAACGGCATGCTTTACACGCAGTTCGATTTTTCTTGTTGATGACGCATTTTCCATTGTTTTTGCATTCGCTAATTGAGCTGATATTGTTGTAGGTCCTGCCAAAGAACGACTGAAACAACAGAAAATACTAATTGAAACAAATCCGATTATAGGTATACAAAACTTGAGAAATTATAATAAGTATGGACTATAACATATCACGCAAATCATAAAGAAAGTTCCATTGTAATTTGAGTGAATCTAAATAAATAATAAAAGGCCTAAAAAATATTGCGTGTTTAGCCTTAAGTAATGTTCGAATTATCTATAGGTTATGGTTTAGAAGATCCTGGTAGTGTTGGGTATTCATTTTGTTCATGTTAAACAATAATTAAAGACGGGAGAAAATGGAACTTTAAAAAATCCAGCCAAGAAGTAAGTATAACACCTGGACTCTGGTCTCGAGCTATATATCTTGCCGGGAGACATTTTAGCGAGCAGTTTCGGATTCCGCAAAGTTTTCTGACAATACTTTGGCATTCTTTCGATTCTTTGCAGATAGGACTACATTTATCACACATAAGCTATCCTTTTGACTGTGTTCCTGAATGCAAATTTTACCTCAATATATTTTCTATTATTTTTTCTAGTTTTCGAGCTGAATTTAACTAACCTCCAGGGAAGGACTAAAACCTGACAATATATTTCAACTTCAGCGACAGCATGAGAGAGATTATTGGTTTTGATTTCTGTCATACCTAGTAGTGCTACAAGTTATAGTGGGAAAATGGTAAAATACAACCTAAATACACTATAATATTTTCACTTCAACAATCGTGATTACCTAGTGCCTATTTGCACTGTCTTGAAGACACCTAAGGAACGTATTTGATGGATACCTACACTTCACATATTTAGTTTCCATGTCGAGCGTAGGCCAAGTACCAAACAGCTCTAGGAATATCCACGGTATAGCACCAACTTATTAATTATTATACAGGATATAGCCGAGAGTGACCCATTTCACATGCTTATAACTTTTAAATCAGGTGTGCTAGCTACGTGCGGTTTGCGCCATCCGACTTCTCCTGGCCTAAAGTTTTTTTTAGTTGGTTGCAAATTTTTTCGACATTTATTCAGAGCCAGGAATAGAAAAACGTTTTCCAACACCTAAATTCTCCACTATTTTTAATGGAACATCCTATATCAAACGTAAAAAAAAAGAGTCATGTTATTATATCACACGCTGAATATGTGTGAGTATCTCATATCACACCGATTTTTAGGAATTGTGATAACTGATGAATTGTGATTAGGTAATTACTCTCAACATTACCCTTTTGGGTCTTGTTTTCAATTTCAAACTGAGTTTAATGTTCGTAAGAATCCACGGATCGAATAAAAAGTTATACTTTTATCACTTGCCGCCATCTCGAATTTCATCTTATTTGTAATTTCTTAGATTTCATGACATCCCTGTGATATACGCTTTATTTTAAGACCACATTTCTAAGAAATAGGGTAGGATTTCTAAAAGAATACGCAAGCTCAGCCACCCTGTATATAGTATATTAGGTTTATCTAGACTATTTATTTGCGAAATCGAAAACAAAAATCCCGACATGTAGCTTGCAGCATCGATAATTAGAAGGCTTGTTTTATGATTTTCGGACCCACTTCACTTGATCACCCTGTATAGTTAGAGATTTGGTGCATTGATGAAAAATACTTATTTTTGCAAGTACTACAACTTTTAAAAAAATCGACCCGTCCCCGAAAACCCATAAGATGTGTGCGATGTCCTTTTGCTTTGCAAGTTTCACATTCGAAAGGATAAATATTCGAATGTGTTGGTTTGTGATTCTTCAATTGGTTTTTACGTTTAAATTTTGCTTTGCAAGTGTTACATTCAAAAGGAGAAATATCCGAGTGTATCAGTTGGTGACTCTTCAAAAAGCGTTTTTGTTTGAATTTTGCTTCGCAAGTGTTACATTCAAAAGAATAAATATCTGAGTGTGTAAGTTTGTGATTGCTCTGCAAGTGTCACACTTAAAAGCAAAAATATCCAAGTGTGTCACTAAATGAAACTTTAAATTTGATTTAGTTTTAAATAAAGCATTGCAAGTGTAACATTGGAATTTTCTGAAAACTGTCAAAGTTTGGATCAATCCGTATTTTATTCTTCAGATCCTCTAATGGTAACAAGGTATTAATTTTACAGGAGAAGATGTGATTCGAAAAAATGGAATTAAGCCCTGTTTTGGACTAATCTGATTCATCAATTCATCATAGCTTATTAACTGGAAACGTTTGTAGTATAGCTTAACTAGATGTTAAAAATTGCACTGTACCCAATATTGGGTTCAACAACCCATCAGCTTCTGAGATACTGTATATCAATGACCAAAAATCGCTTGAGAATCCGACAAACTTGGTATTCAATGACTATGTATCGTAGAGTAGAATCGCCTTTAGTTAAAATCTGGATCATAGAGCATTTTTCAATATGTTCGAGAACAAACAAAATTTGCTTGAAGATCTACAAAAGTTAAAATACACAACTACTTAAAAATGTCAACATTATCTGGACTCTTAGAAGTATGATTCCAGATAATGGTAAATTTTGAAAGATGTGTGGATAGGATATTTTTCAAGTATGATTTTTCTGACGTCCGATCAAATTTTGACGTCATATTTGGGAGAAGTTTCAGTCAGACGACTTTTATCCAATGGTTACGATCGCTACAGTCAAAGTTGATCAGACATTGTCAAGCTGCAGACGCTGACTTCTGAGTAGCATTCTTCTTTTGAACAATATCGATCATGGTTAGAGATAGTAATACTCAGCCTTTTTATACAATGATAGAATATATCCGCCTAAGTGCTTGTCTGATAATTGTTGGTACTTGGAATAGAAAAATAGAAATTATCTAGGCAGGTACTTGTTCACTGAACTGGTAAATGGACGCGGATACAAACTAGTCCAAACACCTAGAATCTACTCTAAAAGTGTTTAAGATTGCTGGAGTGAAATTCGTGAACATAGTTCCCGGTTCTCGCATCCACCTACATTGATTAATAGCCATAACATGCATGTCGCGGCCCGATTCCACGACGACAACGTCGAAATGCAAGTGCAAGGGCAGCGGTTTCTCATGATTCGTGATCGGGCCACGGTCTGGTCCGACTGCCCTGCCGCATATCATACATTTGTCGTGTTCCCGATGCAATATCGCTTCTCTTCTTGCCCGAACACGAAAACGATACCGAGTACAAGTTGCACCGCGACTTCTACACGAATTCAGGTGATATACATGCGACCCAGGATCTGATTTAAATATCGCGCGGATGACGGTTTATGTGGGATCTGTCACTTGAATGATCTCGCTAGCAGATGCTGCAGATCGTAAGTGCCTACTTCGAACATGGCTTCCTCTTCTTCTTCTTTTTCTTCTTCATTCTTTACCGATTTATGATTACGAACTGAATGTTTATACTCGATTTATGATAAGGAATAATAGGAACTAGGAAGTCTCACCGGATCACAGTTTTGAACGACAAAGCAAATAAATTGATTTTGTTTTATTCCAGGATCCAGACCAACTTACTACTTCTATAAGCAACTAAATCATACAACAACTACAGCACTATGTCAGAATGTGGTCAAACTTATCAGCAATATGGTCGACACTCATTCAATTTGATAGTCATAAGTAATTTCTTCAGATTCATATTGAAAAGATAAAAGTAATAAACCATTAGGCCAGGCTAAGCGCATCATCGTTCGTTTTTAAAAGAACATTAAATTTTATGGTTTGATATGATGGCCTACGGAGTGCAGTCAACTAACCAAAATGGTCGATGTTTATTATATTGTTGCGCAAAAATTAACCCTTAAACTCTTTGAATAATGAATTTTAATAAATAAACCCTAATAGGCCTAGGTACAGTAAGACACCCTTAAGGAATGCGGCCAGCGCAACAAAGTGCTCGCAGCTACTCAGTCAGTGTGGGAGTAGATTCATGATATAGATTTAGCTTTATAAGGCGCCACTGGTTTATAAAATAGAATCCTCGGACTTAAACCAGAAAGTCCCTGATCTCCAAAATTCCTCCAAGATGTTCCCACCTGATGTACCTATCCTTCAAAAACAACTTTACCTTAGTTTGGTTGAGGTTAGTAGGGGTAAAATAAGAGTCAAATCTAAAAACAATGATTATAAATCTATTTAATATAATCTGGGGGGGGGGGGGGGTATGTTCAGAACTGCAATGGCATTCCAAAAGCCAACTCAAAGTTGTTATCTAATTTTCTCCTCTAACACTAATTAATTAATTAATAATCATCATCTACCCAGTCTTTAGTACAAAAACCATCAAAATAACCACCTGTTCAGAGATAGCAACGTTATAGGAACGCGATAACAACGATGGTCAAGAAACCTCGGCAACAGCGCTTTCTGAAAAGGATCAACATGTGTCCCATAACCACACTTATTCGGGGAAAATAAATAACCGGAAAAATGTAAATATTAGTGGAAATAAGGGTGAAAATTGATTTAAAAGGTGTGAAAGTGATTTGTGGTGTCGGATAATTTTTAATAATGGAAAATACGAGACTCGTAAGTGTTGCCAATTGATATTTATTTGGAAGTAAACAAACATATTCATCAAGAGTTACGGCTTTTTAGACAACTTTCGTAAGCTAAATAAAATAGATTTCGACCGTATTAGCAGGGCTTTTATATCCTAAAACTACCCTGTCATCTGAATACAAAGAATTTACTCAATATTACCCCGAAAAATATACCTTTAGTCAACCATCCAAGGACCTTTTTTTTCAGTTATACATGTAAACCCCATACTTTGTGAGTGGCTTGCTTACATCGAGTCCTACAACTTTTCCTCTACGACTTTTCTCGGAAATGGCACGTATGCGCGCAGGCGACTCGCAAACATTTTAGGGGTATCGGACTCCCCCAATTTGCCATTATTTTTGTCGGCCAAATTGATTTCCGTGATTTAGAAATAAAAATCAAACATTATTCGTGAAATTAGATTTTCATGTATCAAGAAACATAACCACGTCCGATCGACATTTTGGGGGTATCGGACTCCCCCAATTTGCCA